TTAATATATATGAAAAGTATATATATATATATGTGTGTGTGTGTATGTATGTATATATATATATATATATAAATATGTGCAGTATATTATATTATATATTATATTCGCGGTACTTATTGGAAAGCGCTCAATATCAGAGATAGAGCTAACATATTTAGCTAGACTGATGTTTGTCTGATGATCGCAAAATCGTGAAACCCAGAATCACAAACTCACATCAATCCAACTAAATATTTATTAATATATACTTCTTAGGTCTGTCAAACAACATTAAGCACTGTTTGGTTTACACCTTAAATTAAAGTAAATGTATGTATGTATATATATATATATATATATATATATATTTAAATTACGGTTGACACTGTACAAGTTTCTACCACTCGAGGAAGAGGGTTACAATAAAGAGTACTTTATATAGATAAGAGGGGAACGTAACGTTTGACTCTAGGCTCAACAGGTTAAGATTGTAGCAATCGGAGAAAGACCCTCTCGGGAGTCTTTTCCACACAGTGGTTCACGGGATGAAGCTGTTTGAGTGGGACTTCCTTCTCGCCGATGGTATACGGAGTAAATGTGTGTTATTATATATATATATATATATATATATATATATATATATATGTGTGTGTGTGTGTGTGTGTGTGTGTGTGTGTCTGTGTGTGTTTGTGTTGTGTGTGTGTGCGCGCGCTCTCGCGCGAGAGTGTGTGCGTCCGTGTTTTGCATTCATCTATCTATTTGTCTATACTCGGCAAGTAACTTATGTGTAATTATCAAAACCTTTAGGTCGTAGACATGGAAAAAAATGAGTTATTTTATTTTTTATGTATATTAGGACTAAGAAATAGTTGATCGATCAGTCTATTCAAACACTAAATTGAATGAATTCAATGCCTCCCGCATGAATGCATCTGTGATTAATGCAACTATAAAAAGCACCAACGAAAAATCAGTTATCTAAAAAAATATATAGTCGAGAAATTTGAAGAAAACCTGCCGAATGAAAACGAGGCTGAATCCAGGCGGCCATGTTTTCAATTCATCCGTCCATTAATATATATGTGTGTGTGTGTGTGTGTGTGTGTGTGTGTGTGTGTGTGTGTGTGTGTGTGTGTGTGTGTGTGTGTGTGTATATTTTTGTATATACAAAATATAGTTATAGTCTACGCATATCGGCGCTCATAACAGAACTTTCAAAATGTCTAATTAGGCTTACATAACGCGTTTTCTACATGAATAATGCAATTATTCACAAGAGCGTCTGCCAGAGTGCAAAGTTTAGCGAGCTAATCTAAGACTATTCAGCCGTGAGATCGAACCCAGTTGCTAGCTTGGCAATTAATCACCTGGACTGTGCGTGATGTAACCAACTAGGGTCGTAGAAGCGCTACATTTGCTTCAGGTATAGCAGCAATTTTGGGTCTATGGCAAGAGAGCTTGACGGAGTCTAACACTATGCAGGCATGTTCTGAATTCATATATGTTTTCCTTCTCCTAAACTGGTTCCCACCTGAAGCCAAGAGATCTGCCCGGCATGAATCTGTCTTCGTGTGGCTATGGATTAAATAACCATGACTTCAGGAAAATTTATTGATGCTTTTTCCTAGGGCATTAGCGTAAAATGAGTGAAACAGAATCAAGCGGGAATCGAACCTGGCATGCCAATTTGACATCCATTACCCCACTGCGCTTCTTGAACTGACTGTAGCTACCGTTTTAACAAAAAAATGGAATATTATTTACATTATTTCGACTATTTTCCTTATCTTTCTCGCCATATTTCTTACAACGTTTCGGTCGTTGTGCGCTCCGTCCTTCTTCAGGTGGTTGGAATGTCGAACTGAATGCTTTATTTCTCTCACTGGGGTAGACTGTTCTAGTTCCACGTGCCATAGCACAGTGTGTAAAGGTGTTGGTTAGATCCAGTGACAGGACACAAAGAGTGTGAGTGTGAGTTCAATACCCGGTTAAGGCAGTGGAGAACTTGGAGGAGAATTAACAGGAGATAACTGACATCCATTAAACATGACACAGTATAGCTAGAACACTCTACACCATTGAGCGAAATAAAGGATTCAGTTCGACATTCCAACCACCTGAAAAAGGCCGTAGCGTACAACGGCCGAAACGTTGTAATAAATATGTCGACAAAGATGGGGGCAATAGACCGAATGATGTAAATAATGTACATAATACCACATCTCAGAAAAATAGACAGATACTGAAAGGCCGAAACTTTGTAATAAATGTAGCAACAAAGATGAGGACAATAGTCCGAATAATGTAAATAGTGTACATAATACCTCATCTCAGAAATATAGACAGATACTGAAAGGCCGAAACGTTGTAATAAATATGGCGACAAAGATGAGAACAATAGTACGAATAATGTAAATAGGGTACATAATACGTCATCTCAGAAATATAGACAGATACTGAAAGGCCGAAACGTTGTAATAAATGTGGCAACAACAAAGATGAAGGACGATTGTCCGAATAATGGAAATATTAAGTGCTACGTCATCTCAGAAATATAGACCGATTTTTTCGGCCGGGAACGTTGTAATAAATTTAACCCTCAACAAATTTCCAAAAAGAAATTAAAACAAGGAAAAGCGGTGACTTGTAGCTTTCTGATTCCTCACGTCCGAGCCGCTATCATTACTCCACCGTCTTTTCTAAGTTTCCAAAAATCTTCTTTCACTATTAATTTGCACTCTTGAATTTCTGTCACATCTCCCGTTGCTTAACATGTCGTCTAAAGTGATACGGCATGGGCGAATGGTCCTAAATCAGAGAGCTCCACAGCGCCGTACCGTGTCTAAGTCTTGTTTGTTCGAACCATTGTACAAAAAACGCGAGAATTTTATTATTTTTTTGTCACGACTCGGAATAGAGCGAGAAGTGTTTTTTGGGTTTTTTTTTGATACGACATGCGAGGTGGATTTGTTTTTGAAAGACCCTTCCTCTCGCAGATGGTTGGATTTCTCAAAGCTGATTTGAATTGAAAGTTTTCCTTCTCCTAGCGTGGTTGTCAAGCAGATTCATAGAGCTCAACCTGTCCTGCTATTTAGCCATAGTTGGCGAGAAGAGATGGATTCATACGTTTCCCCAAAGGTATTAATACTCAGTCTGAAACACTATCTATTACTCTACAGTGGCTCCGTTACTACAGAGTAAATTTTCCATACTTGCTTGATTTTGACATCAATATGTAACTCATATAACTCGCATCTTAGGCTGTCTATGTTGCCAGCAATCATGTATTCTGCCTTTTTTTACTTGTTCATCTAAGAAGCTTATTTTTCAGTTTTCCTTGTGAGTCAGGAATCCAAGCAATATCATCATGAATATCTCATGTTGTTAACAATCAACAACGTGAGATAATTATTTCTCCCAGTAATAAATTTTGGTCGCTCCTCTAGTTTTCTTCCTATTGTCTCGCTGTATATGTTAAATAGATACTTGTGTTACTTATCAGTATATATTCGTACGTTCACTGAACTCCTTCCTCATCTGCATACATGGCGTTTGTTCCCAGTAGAGGTTGGGGATTACTTTAATATCTTTTCCATATAATTCAATCATTAATAACACATCGGATAGTTTTTATGTGTATTGCCCACTCATGGAAACATTTTTACGTAATCTATGAAGCATAAATATATTTATTTGTTTTATTCTTTTTTTGCTTTTGTATTGTACGCTCCGTTAAGAATATGATCATAAAAACAGTATCTTGTTTCAGTGTCTTATACAAAGCCACACTTTTCTTGCTTGTTTCCACTCTAATTCTGCTACGAAACATGTTCATTAGAAACATGATAAGTTTGAGAATGTCTCTCATTAAGATAGTTTCTTGTGTATATCGTGTAATCTGCTACAAATGAATTTTAATATACCATTTTCAGACAATAATGTATTTGTTTCACGAAAGGCAATATTTCTTAGTTGATTTTAACATTTTCTTCGGACTTTTCTGAGTAGAACATTTTGTAGAGCATTTTCCTTGTGTATCTCTTCTGCCATCTTTCGCCATTATTGTTTTCTCCTATTCTTTTAACAACTCACCACTTCCTCTGTACTTTATTTTGTATGTATTCCATAATCGGATGTTTAGTATTTACGTAATGCTCAACTTGCCTTTTAAAACTAGAAATTTAGCATTCTCGTCTGATTTCCAAAGCAGATTAGTTGTTGTGGATTAAATAGTTCTTCCCCGATAACTATTAATTTTATTGTTACTTATTTGTAATATTATGATGTGGGTATTGTTCAAGTCTCCACAAATCCTCACCTCTTATCATGATTATAAACTTTCCCAATTAATATTTCATTGACAATCCATTGTTTCCTATCTTGTAGAACCAAGTTCACACAGGAGGTCTGTACTTTGTTTTCAACACGTCTTAATTTCTTGAACATTTCATTAGTACAGTTAATATTTTTAATACAGAATAATGGATGTTTTATCAGTAGTTAATGACTCTCAATGGAGATTTAATTCAATGATTTGTATTCAATTAATGTCCACATTCATAATACGAGAGGTTGCTGAAATATGATCAATTTGAATAACTCCTCAAAATTAAATTTTCTATGACCAAACATTAAAATATTGATATTATATATATATATATATATATATATAGTAGGAAATAATCTGTATCGAAATCGAAACCGGTTTAGTAATCTCCTAACTGCTTGCCTTATTTGGAGATCAAGTCACAATTATCGGCAATATTTCATATTCCACCTCGGTAGTTTAAATGATTATAATAATGTGGTCACCTGGATGGGATTCCTTCTCCCATTGATTTTCAGGAGTACTCAGATCGCCAGTAATTACGAGTACAATTTTAATTGTTATGTTCTGCAATATGTTGGATACCTGGCAAGCTTGAGACATTTTATGTTTTTTTTTTTTTTAAACTTTCAGTATTAAGATCGAGCACTATCAGAAAATTGAACTCCTGGGGAATGTTAGTCTAATCCTTTAGAGTTTTTCAAGCGTGATAAAAATGTGTCTCCTCAATCCACTGGTATTTTCGTTCTATCTCCCCCAAAGTTTGCTCTTTCCAGTACTACTAAAGCTACTAATATTACTGATTCTGGTTCTTCTTCTTCTTCTTCTTCTTCTTCTTCTTATAATAATAATAATTATTATTATTATTCTTTTCATCTCTCTTTTCTTCTTTTTCTTATTCTTTTTCTTCTTCTTTTTTTCTTTTTTCTTAATTTTCTTTTTCTTTTCTTTTCTTTCTTTTTTTCTTCTTTTTTTCTTCTTTTTTTTTCTTTTTTCTTAATTTTTTCTTTTTCTTCTTTCTTTTTTCTTCTTTTTCTTTTCTTTTTCTTCTTTTTTCTTTTTTCTTAATTTTTCTTTTCTTCTTTTTCTTCTTTTTCTTTCTTCTTTTTTCTTCTTTTTCTTTTCTTTTTCTTCTTTTTTCTTAATTTTTCTTTTCTTCTTTTTCTTCTTTTTCTTCTTCTTATTTTTCTTTTTCTTTTCTTTTTCTTCTTTCTTTTCTTCTTTTTCTTATTATTCTTATTATTATTCTTTTTTCTTATTCTTTTTGCTTCATTTTTTCTTTTTCTTCTTTTTCTTCTTTTCTTTCTTCTTTTCTTTTCTTTTTTCTTTTCTTTTTCTTTTTCTACTGTTTCTTCTTCTCCTTTTTTCTTTTCCTCCTTTTTTTCTTTTTTCTCCTGCTTATTTTTATTTCTGAAAAAATGAAGAATATATCCATCAAATTTGTTAAAAACACATCACGAACGCCACAAAAATCTGCTTTATTGTGTGGAGCGAGCATACTTTAAAAATACTGACTGAAAAGTACTGATTGCTTGAAAATTATCAAAATTCATCAGAATATTATACGAGGGTTGTGACTTGAAAGGCATAATCTTCCTTGTAACATGCACTCAACAACAGTGTCATAATGCCTTCATATAATAAAGTAGTTGGTGGTCACTAGATGCCTGGTGACCACCACTGAAAACTCAGTGACTGTAACCTCAGCTATTTGAAATACTTCATACTATTCTTGCAGACCCCAGCAACTTAGTTTGTGCAATCCTTCCTCGCATGCACGAGTAAGCCAATCTCGATCCCAATATTTTTAGTGTCTGCTATTATGAAGTATTCCTTCCTATTTTTCTTCATTTTCTTCCTATTATCCTTCTTGTTCGTCTCTCTTCCACTTTGACTTCTTGTTCTCTACTTTCTCCTCCACTTCCTCCTCCTCCTCTGCTTTCTCTTCCTCCTCCATTTTTCTTCCTCCTCCATTTTTCTTCCTCCTCCATTTTTCTTCCTCCTCCATTTTTCTTCCTCCTCCATTTTTCGTCCTCCTCCACTTTTTCGTCCTCCTCCACTTTTTCTTCCTCCTCCACTTTCTATTTCTCCACCATTTCTCTTTTTCTTCTTTTTGTTCTCCTCCTCCCCTCTTCTTTTTGTCCTCCTCCTACCTTTCTTCTTTTTGTCCTATTCCTACTCCTCTTTTTTGTCCTCCTCCTACCTTTCTTCGGTTTGTCCTCCTCATACTCCTCTTCTGTTTGTCCTCCTCATACTCTTCTTCTTTTTTCTCCTCATACTCCTCTTCTTTTTTCCTCCTCATACTCCTCTTCTTTTTTCCTCCTCATACTCCTCATCCTCTCCTCCTTTTTTTTCTTCACTTTTGTTGTTGTTATACATTCCACTCAGACTTTTATTTTTTAAAATTTCTTCACTGACAGATAGAAAACTTTTGAAGACTCTAAAACTCGCCATATTTTCTGACTCATGAGGTGTCTATTTAAGAAAGTAAACTTAGAAAATCAACGTAAATCCCCATCCGAAAAGACTAACCTGTCTACTTGACTCGACGAGTTTAGAAGAGAGAAGACAGAAAGATTGAGTATAAAATGGTAAGTTGACGTGAAAAAAAGGAAACCAGTTTCTTTCACTGACAATAGCCTAAAGATAGACACTTACATGCATTTATAACAGTGGACAAATTAGTCTGGAAAAAAAAAATCAATAAATTAAGGAGGAAAAAACACGCGTGATATGAAAGGAGAACAATATATTACGTTTACTTCGCTTATAGCTTCAAGACAGAGTATCAGTCCATCGTCCTTAAGATTCTGAGCTATATTCAGCATACTGAATTGTCTCATTCACACGAATTTTCCGAAGTTGCATAATACCTAAAGGTATATCTCAATAATAGATCTATTCTTTTAACAAAGTACGAAAAACAAAAAGAAATTGATAATATAAAGAACAAAATATATGGAGGAAAAACCATCTTCAACAAAAAGTAAAAAAGAAAAAAAAGTAAAAAAGAAAAAAGGAAAAAAAAAAAAAAAAAAAAAAAAAAAAAAAAAAAAAAAAGAAAAAGGAAAAAAAAGAAAAAGGAAAAAAAAGAAAAAGGAAAAAAAAGAAAAAGGAAAAAAAAGAAAAAGGAAAAAAAAGAAAAAAAAAAAAAAAAAGGAAAAAAAAAGAAAAAGGAAAAAAAAAAAGAAAAAAGGAAAAAAAAAGAAAAAAGGAAAAAAAAAAGAAAAAAAAGAAAAAAGGAAAAAAAAAGGAAAAAAAAAGAAAAAAGGAAAAAAAAAAAAAGGAAAAAAAAAAGAAAAAAAAGGAAAAAAAGAAAAACAAAAGAAAAAAAGAAAAAGAGAAAAAAAAAAAAAAGAGAAAAAAAAAAGAAAGCCATGTTAAAAACATTTTGAAGAAAAAAAGTATATGCAAAATATGATGTTAAGTTAAAAAAAAAAATGACTTTTTAGTAAATCAACTCTCCAGGAAATATATATATATAGTGAAAGATACAATCATGATAAATTCTTCTATCTTCTACTTCTATGTGCCATATCCTTTCATGATGTTAGCAATCATGGCTCTTCACAATTTCCTGTCCTTTGTAGTTCTTAATAAATTTTGTCTTTTTGCTATCTTTCCCAAATCTACTCCACCATCCATTCACTGAAACTCACCAGGTAGGTTCTGTTTGTTTCCTCTAACCCTCTTGCTTCAATATGTCCTGTGAGTATCAAATTTTCCAACCCCTTTCCCCATTGTGTGCTAGAAATTTAAACTGTCTCTTTCTGATGTTAAATGTTTCCTTTTTGTCTATTTTTCCTAAAACTTTGTTGTTGCTGACATGTTCAGTCCATCCTTCTGCAGAATCATATTTCTGTTGCTACAAGTCTCTTCTTCATCCACAGGTAGATTGTCTAGTATACACTGCCAAAAGGAGGACTGATATGACATAACAGTTCAGACTCTTTTCTTAGTTTCTAATGAAATTTTCCTTTTTCTTAATAGTTTACTTAACTTTTTGGAAGACGTCTTTCACTATCCTAATGCACCTTCAGATTTCAGTGTCACACTTTCTATCCTCTGTTAAAACACTTTCCAGATATTTAAAAACACTTTCCAGATATTTAAATTGCTGTACTTAAATACCCAAATTATATAAATAACTAAATTTACAGATTTCAGATGACAAAACCATAGTAAATATACTCAAATAATCTTCAAAGAATCTTTACACACTGAGATACATAATAAAATCACATGTATTGGCTATTCTTACATTAAACTGTATAATAATTGAAGTAAGGAGATAGAAACAATAATATAGTGCAAACATTCCATCAGATTACAGTTGTCGTGTAAATATCTTTAAAATATTTAAATAAATGTGTAAATGCTAATGCATAATTTTTTTTTTTTTTACAAATATAAGTAAACAGATACCATTATTTTACTGATATTTGACATTTAATGAAGATATATTCATTGACAGGTGATTTATGATATGCAAGAGAAATAACACTCCAAGAATACACCATGAGAACAATCAGAATCTGAAAGCAATATATTGTCTAAAAGGCCAGGTAAACTAATGAATAATGGAATTAATGAACCAAGTTCAAACTTCAGTGAAGACAGTTTGTATTCCCTTTGCATTAATGCCTGTGAACAAAACATAAATCTTCTCGTAGCTCTTCATAAATAGTAAGGTTGTTGGAGTCCGTTAGCCCTATAAGATTGATCTTACATATCAGGCAATCTGTAAAAATCTCTTTTACTTTTTCTTGATGTATTTGTTGCCCCATGCACAATGAGTCTGTAGGAAAACAATATACCACTGGTCATTCTAAAAAGTGGAATGAGACAGCATGAAATAGCAAGAAAAGATGTGGTACAAACTATCCAAAGAATGGCCATATTGTATTTTCAATTACTTTAGTCATTATGGTTGAGCAGCCAGAAGAAAGCTAGTCAAACCAGTCAACATTCATCAGAATAAGTTGGTAAATGAGATAGTAGATTCTTGAGGTTCTGGAACACATTATATTTCCTCAATATGTATCCTCATCTACTAATTATTTCAATAGAAAATGAATAAAGGTCTTGAGATACTTAAAGGTTTTCTTTGAATCACATTCAGGCCACTATTAAATGTATTGGATTTTCAGTTAAGCTTTCCAAATAGTAATGATTATTCTTCTGGAATATACAAAAAACATCAAGAAATTCACCTTACTTCTATAGGAGACTTTGCCAATATTTATTTTTTTTTTTTTTTATATACTAAAGTTCACCCAATACAAAGCTTGAGAGCCACTCAATGTAGAGGGTTACTATTAAAATGGTTATGATGAATAAGGTCTGTGATACGAATGTAAGAGGAAGTGAAAATTATGAGGATAAGGAGGATAGACAATTGCCCCTTGACTTGAAGGGGGTTAAGATTTAGGAAAGCATCCACATGGGAATCTGCTCCACAAAGTAGCAGTTTTTGGGAGGAAAAGCTGTCTGAATGGAACTTTCTTTGTATATTTGGAATATGAAGGAAATGAGGATGAAATCAACTCCATGGAAGTAGCATGGCATGTCCTTGATATAAAGGTCTGAACTGGTCAAACTAAACTGGATCTTATTTGAACATCTACCATAGAAATAGCAATAGGCTTGTGACATTGCAACCTCTATCTATATAGATGCAAAGTGGAAAATAAGCTTCCTTTCCCAAGATTACATAAATGATCGAACTCTATCAAGGCTGGAAAGTGAGAATTGAGTAGCCCAGTGTAGATATGGTGGCAATACTATATTTTTGGTCTAATCTGATTCTTGTAAAAATAAAAGTATGGCAGAATGATTCCAATGCTAATTATTATTAGGAATGAAACAGCAGTCTATGAAGGATGTAGATCTATCCCATCACCAGAAAAAGATCTGAAAATGGCATATTCAAAGGAATTCAAAGCTCACAATTCTCTGCAATGAATGTATTGAATATGGTTGGATCATTCAGACTGAAATAAGTTAAATATTCACAAAAACATTCTACAAGATTTAATTTGTATTTTCATTACAAGATAGTCAAATAT